ATGTGCTTCGTAATTCACTATATTGTTGTTGATAAGTTAGTTGGTTTGTGTCAGATTTCTTCAGTTTAGTTAATGTTAGGTCCACCTCTGGCTTCACAAACTGCCAGGGCGGAGAAGAGAAAACCTGAGTGGGGGCAATGTTTTCAAGATCTAATTTCGCAGCAGAAATGTGAGATTGTATTCTTATTGCAAGTGGTGGAATGAGAGATGATTTCTTTTGGTATAGATTTTCATAAAGTGGATTAAAAACACAGTCATAAGCTGGATTGGATTTCGAAGAACATAGTTTAGATATGTACTGTAAAGACAATTTAATGCGACGTTGATGAAGGGACGGTGTCAAGAAATATATTCGCCCCCAGAATAAAATCTCCACCCGGCGAATTTATACCGGTACAGTTCCGCCCCTCTCAAAAAAAAATCTCCCCCACCCTACGAAATAAAATCTCCCCCCAGAATATTTCCTCCCCCGGTCGTTTTATAAATACTTGCCATGCAGTTCAATAGTTGAGGGCATTGCCTAAAAGTGGTTTAAACATATTTTTATTTCAAAAAAAATCTGGATCGGTAAACAAGCAAAACCTGCTTATGTAAATACCTCTCAAGGTAATAACTTTACAACAGATGGTTATATATAAGATTATATGAAAGATGGTGCTAAACATAAACATACTAAATGCACAAATGAAATATATGAAGCCAATACAAGTGGTGTCTGTGAAATAAGATATAGCAGTTTTCCATTACTACATGCATAAAATTAAGCTACTCGAATCTTTTGCTTTTGACAATAAAATCGTGAACTGATTTAAGAATAGTCATGTTTGTAGAACTGCTAACTAAACTACTGCCATGTAATATCGTTTTTAAATCATACCCATGTGTGTAGAAATACATAGTGTTTCTGATATTATCGTATTTTTGACAGGTATAAAAAAAGTCAATTGCGTCTTCAAAGTGATACCCACAAGTGCAGTCTGATATGTCTGATTCATGTCGTCTAAACTTATCAGCATTTAGGTCACTGCAGCCGAGCCTAAGGCGACAGTGGACAATCTGACATGATCTATGACCGTATTTTAAGTCAAAATTATTTATAATTGTATCAGAACGATTAATTAAGGATTTGAATTCTTTTAATGAGCAACAATTAGTAACTTCATTGGGTAGAGTGTTCCACAGGTTAATCGTATCTGGAAGAAATGATTTAGCATAGGTCTGGGTTCTATATTTGATTGTTTGTATGTTAGATCTATTTCTAATGTTAAAATTGCTATTATCAGAGACTGGACTTGGAATGAGATCGTTGAGATATACAGGTGAAATACTGTTTTTCATTTTGTAAAATGTAATCAATTTGAAGCGGTGTCGTCGTTCTTTAAGGACTGAAAGTTTGTTTCGTTATAAATTTTAACATGACTGGTACCCCGAACCGCCCCACAAATAGTTCTCAATGCGTCCAAATGTAAATTCTCGAGTAACAATGACTGTTCGTTTGTACAGTTGTCCCAAATATGACAGCAGTAGTCGAAGTTTGTTAGGATAAAAGATGTGTACTTAGTTTCAAGCGTATTTCTTGTTAGTCTGTATTTAAAGCTCCTTAGGCAGTTGATCATTGGACTGATTTTTCTAATAATTTTGTTAATATGTATTTTAAATGAACAATCAGATTGAAGTGTAATTCCTAAATGTTTGTGACTTTGTACTTCTTCAATAACAGTACTCTCCATGTATAAATTTGGTCTAAAACCAGAATTGACTTTGCGACTGAATGTTATAGGTTTGGTCTTATCGGGATTGAAACCTACTTGCCATTTTCGGGCCCAGTTTGAGATTTTTGCGAAATCATTGTTGATACAATTTTCGGCAGAGATTGTCAAAATCACCTTTAAACGCATAGATGTTTACTCAAATGTGTTTACATCTATAGACAAGCCAAACACTTCTGATACAGACGATGTTGAGAATGTGGAGTGAAAAGGGCTTCACTTTGAGCACTGTGTTTTCTTTAACTACCGCAATATGAGACAAAAAAGTGGTGGTATATAGGTAGATATAATACTAGTCGTTAGATATAAAGAATATTTTGTAACTTTAGAAGTTCTAGGACAGTTATTAACACGTGTCATCTCAGCCCTATGACATTCGCGATTGTCCACTTCCAGAAAACATCCTGTGTTAACATGAATTAGTAAAGGTTAATTAGGGATGCCTAACACGTTAATTTATGAAAGACGAGTAGTCAAAACACTGTCATTTCCTGCCCAGGACATCACACCCCTACACGCTAAGGTAGGTGAATAACATTCTCATCAAAGAAAACACACAGTCAAGACTGTAGATTCCAGTCGTCTAGCTACAAATCTTGTGATGTATTAAAGGTTGAAGAATTTTGAACTGAACTGTCCGAAAGTTTGTATCTCAAATTTTGGAATTGGATACAGTGATAAAGTCTTATATCAAAATGGCGAGTGCTGACTCATAAATATTGGTTTTATATTTTAATTGAGATATGATATATTCTTATGAAATATCGCGTATTAGTGTAATTTGCATGCTTTACCATTCATTGTCCCATTCTAAACCATGTGAATGTTGTAATATCAGTCAATCGGGTGGGAAAACAGCCCAATCCTCGCTCTATAAAGGACTATGTCAATCATTTTGCATGTTGAAATGACCCCTGATACTTTGTGAATACTTTATGACAGTTTATGGAGTCAAAATCAATGCTGATTCTTCATAAACTTAATACTTCGTACTATAGGCCTGTGGCCTCTTCAGTGCTGAATAAAGATTGAAAATACATCAGTCAATCAAAGATGAAGGTAACTTTATACATCAGACTTCTTGAGAATTAGTTCATGTTTTGTTCTTAGTCTAACATTTCAACCATCGATTGTGTTCACATGTAGACTCAAACTGGTATATCAAAAAAATGTATACAGACAACAACAAAACTTAGATCACCCGTATGTAACCCAGGTAAAGCATGCATATCGGGGAACATTGTAATGTTGGCACAGTTTATCGTGTCTTCGTGCTTTAGCATTACACATTGGCTTTTCATATACCTCTAGCTTTTAATGTTTATTTGTCTATGTATTGTTTTATTTATTTTTTTCTCTCCTTTATTTTTTCTTGGTTATATATTTATCTAAATATACATTTAGATACTTGTGTGTGTGTGGGTTTGGGTTTTTTATTTCTTGATTTTTATTTTTATTGATTTTGCGGGGTATATTTCTTTTCGGGTGTGGGAGGGGGTGGGGGTCTCACATTTCCTTTCGTTTTTCATAATAATATTTTGTATATATAATAAGTTGTATATAACGTATGAATCCCTTCTAAGATTACTTTATCTCATTTCTATATGACGTGCTATTTTACTTCTCTGTGTTGTTCTTGTTATCTCTTCAGCATGAGGTTATACTGTATCATTTTTACTGTTTTGATATTTTGCAATATGGTGTGGTCATCCGTTATGCAAATCAGTTTCAGTGTGTATTTTTAACAAGGTGTTCTTCATTAAGATTCACCGCCGGCCCGATTGTGACAATTACATGTACACTTTGCTTTGACGATGCTGGTTGATGTTGTTCAATACAGGCTGGCGGTGGGTGTTTTTTTAATCTTTTCTACATGCTAAATCATTTCGGGAAGATGATACACATTTCTATATTTTGGGTTACTTTGCTTATATAATTTCCGATTATCATTGTTAGTTTTACTTTTTCTCTTCTGCTGCGGTGATATCCATCCGAATCCAGGAACTTTGCATAGTCCAGATTTAAAGATTATACATCTAAACGTATGCAGTCTTAAAGACAAAGTAGATTTAATCAGTGCTGAATTAGATAGTTATGATGTTGTACGTTTAACAGAAACCTGGTTGCACCATGATATTCTAGCCACTGATATTACACTGATACCATTTCAAATCTTAGCCTGTATCAAGGAATATATTTTAGATCTTAAATCAGAGTATAACAGACAGTTTGAGCTGGACGCGCGCGTGGATATTTTGACAGTTTTTTTACGTATAATCAAGGGGGAGACTTTATACTGAGGGGGGCGCGAAATATATCCACCCGGGGGAGATTTTATTTCAGAACAGATTCGCCGGGGGAGAATTTGTATGGGGGAGAGTTTATACCGGGACAACGGCTCAACAGCCTTCACATACAGACTTTGTATCAGTGAATTTCGGAAGGTTCCAAGGCAAAGCCTCAGGCCTTGATGGTGAATAGGATCTAGAATTTTTAAATTGCTTTTACAGGCTCCACCATAAATGATGGAGCCATAATCTAGTTTGGAGCGGATAAGTGCCCTGTAGTTGGAGGAGGGTTTTCTGATCCCCTCCCCACTTGGAATTAGAGACAACTTTTAACAAATCTAGGGCTTTCAGACATTTATTCTTTGAGTATTTTATATGTGGTAAAAAGGTTTAATGATGATCGAAAATTATACCCAAAAATTTCGCTTCTTTTACAACTTTAATGGGGGTGTTATCTTATATTAGTTCTGGGTCTTTGTGAGATTTATATTTTTCTGCAAAAATGAATACAGTTAGTTTTAGATTTGGAAAATTAAAAGCCATTTTCTAAACACCATTTTTGGATGTTATTTAAACACAATTTCATTTGCCTCTCAATCGTATGCATGTTCCTACCACGGCAAGAAACATTAAAGTCATCCACAAACAACGATCCATCAATTTAATCGTTTAAAACCTTTGCTAAACTGTTGATTTAATACTAAACAAAGTGACAGACAAAATACTGTCCTGTGGGACACCCTGATCCTGATTATAATGATCAGACAGGGTAGAACCCACGGGGACTTGAAATTGCCTGTCAGTTAAAAACTTGGATATAAATTGAGGCAAACGGCCTCGCAATCCAAAATCATGAAAATCTTTTAAAATACCGTACTTCCATGTAGTGTCATATGCTTTTTCTAGATCGAAAAAAGGTAGACACTGCATGTTGTTTATTTATAATGGCATTCTTAACGAATGACTCCGATCAAACTAAATGGTCAATGGTACTGCGATTTTTTACGGAATCCACATTGAATATTTGTGATTATTTATTGGATTCTAAGTACCAAGTTAATCTATTATTGACCATGCGTTCCATGGTTTTGCAAACGCAGCTAGTCAATGAAATGGGTCGATAATTGGAAGGATCAGTATGATCACGTCCAGGTTTATGTATGGGAACAATGATAGCTTCACGCCATGAAGAAGGAAATTCTCCTGACGTCCAGATTTTATCAAATATTATCAAAAGGGTTTCTAAACAGGATGGCGGTAAATGTTTTAAGAGTTGATACTGTATATTATCAGACTCTGCAGCAGTGTCATGAGCCTGCCCAAGTGAAGTATGGAGCTCATGAATGGAAAAGACTTAATTGTAATCTTCCCCGTTATCTGAATTAAAATTTAAAGGTTTCTTTTCCTGCAGCTTTTTTTATTTTTGAAATTGAGGGACATAATTAGACGAGGAAGAATGTTGAGCCAGAGTTTCACGAAGTTTATTTGCAATATCTGATTTATCAGTTAACAATTGATCCCCATCTTTGAGATGGTGTATTGAGTGCCCTGACCCTTCATTTTCTGAGTAATGTTCCATACGTTGGACATAGGCGTCAAGATTGGCATTTGGTTTGTTTGAAAGTGCGCCGGTGTTAGCATTTACAATTTTGAATTTTTTGAGGTTATGGATCATTGGATGGCAAATGAAATATTTTTCAGCTTTTTTCCGTGCCTTTCTAGCTTTTTAGCAATCATTGTTGAACCATGGTTTACGTATGTGAGGATTTGAGGAGGACTTCGGAATACATTCATCAGCTATTTTAGTAAGTTCATCAGAGAACATTTGTATAGAGTCGGGAACATCAATAAAAACTTCAGGTTTTAGTTTGTAAGAACAAAGGACTTCATAAAACGCCAAGTTGGCTTTAGTAAAATTCTATCGTGATGACGGAGGAACATCAGATGGTGTAACAGATTTTAAAATGGTAGGAAAATGGTCACTTCCACAGAGGTCATCGTGGACTGACCATTCAAATTCATTAAATAAATTAGAATTTACAACTGACAAGTCCAGACAAGAGTATGGTCCAGTTGCAGGATGAAGATACGTGTTAGAATCATCATTAAAAAGAGTAGTATTGAGAGGAACAGGACTGTGAATGAGGCCCTGCCTCACCAGCACAGAAGATCCTCAAGTTGCTTTATCACCCGGAAGGGAAAAGCTATGGTAAGAATCATACTGTCTTAAATCAAATTTATCAGTAGTTTTGAGGAAAGTTTCTTGTAAACAAAATGCAGATGGTTTAAAATCTTGAATTAAGAGCTGAAGATCAGTAAAATTGTTCCGAAGTCCTCTACAATTCCATTATATTAAATTGGGAGAGGTGCTCATGGGGGTATAATTGGAGATCGTGAGCGGGGAGAAGGTCCTCTTCGCTGTAATGGCAGCGATGGAGTGACCTCCATATCAAGAGGTTTAAAGGGGTTTTGAACCTCCAGAGGGACTGTCAATGTTGAAGGCATCTTAATATGTTTAAGTGCCTTGGATTCTTCTTTTCTGTGTTGTTTCCTTTCTTTTCTGGAAAGTGAGGTGAGGGTTGTGTTGGAGTGTCCATGGAATTTACGATGGCATAGAATGAAAGGTGAGGGTTATGTTGGAGTGTCCGTGGGATCTAAGAAGGGACAGAAAGAAAGGTAAGGGTTGTGTTGGCGAGTCCGTGGGATCTAAGAAGGGACAGAAACAAAGGTGAGGGTTGTGTTGGAGAGTCCGTGGGATCTAAGAAGGGACAGAAACAAAGGTGAGGGTTGTGTTGGAGAGTCCGTGGGATCTACGAAGGGACAGAAACAAAGGTGAGGGTTGTGTTGGAGTATCCATGGGATCTAAGAAGAGGCAGAATCAAAGGTGAGGGTTGTGTTGGAGTGTTCATGGGATCTACGAAGGGATAGAATCAAAGGTGAGGGTTGTGTTGGAGTGTCCATGGGATCTAAGAAGGGATAGAATCAAAGGTGAGGGTTGTGTTGGAGTGGCCTTGGGATCTACGAAGGGGCAGAATCAAAGGTGAGGGTTGTGTGGGAGTGGTCATTGGATCTAAGAAGGGATAGAATCAAAGATGAAGGTTGTGTTGTATAGCCCGTCGGATAGAGCAGGTAGAGCATCGAAGGTGAGTGTTGATTTAGAGAGTCCACATAATCCGAGCAGGGACAGGATGAAAGGTGAGCGATGTGTTAACATTTTCGTCGGTACCAACGGGGTCAAACTCAGAAGAGAGGTTGTAATGTTCATGACATTGTACAACAGTTGTCGGGGTCAAACACATAACTAAAAAGAACAAGGTTACAAATTCGACCCATTCATATTTCGAACGATCGTTAAGCCTCTAAATATGGCCAACATGCCTTAACTTGCAATCATTTGGCCAGGTCTCATCTTCTTCATTCAGCTGAACTGATGGGATACACGACTTTCCCAGTTGAGGGGGGCGAGATGCATCTGAAGAGATACAATGTACGACGTACGTGGGACCAAGCCCTACAGATGTGCAGGTCTGACGGCGCCACACTGGTCAAGACAGACACTGCGGAGAAATTGGACATCGTCAGAGGCTTGTTTTACCACACCAAAACTAACGAGTGCAGTAAGTGACGCTGTACTTTCCGATAATGTCATCCACTCGTCAGTCACGCCCTTTCGTCAGTCACACCCTCTCGTCACCCCTTGACACACCTTGCCTTCAGACACAACTATCTGTCAGTCACACCATCTCGTCACCAATAAGACACACCTTGCCTTCAGTCACAACTGTCAGTCACACCCTCTCGTCAGTCACATCTATATGTCAGTCACACTCTCTCGTCAGTTACATCTATATGTCAGTCACACCCTCTCGTCAGTCACATCTATATGTCAGTCACACCCTCTCGTCAGTCACATCTATATGTCAGTCACACCCTCTCGTCAGTTACATCTATATGTCAGTCACACCCTCTCGTCAGTTACAGAAACCAATCAGTCAGCCCCTGCCACACCTATCGGTCAGTCACACCCACTCGTCAGGCACACCCTTCCTGTCAGTCAGCCCCTCCCGTCAGTCACATCCATCTTCAGTCATAACCTCCTGGTAAGCACACTCTCCCATACTGTCTCTCACACACACACCTCAGTCTCACTCTCCCTCCTCCTGGTGGTGTTTCAGGGGAGCCCTGGATTGGACTGCGGGACACGACCAGGTCCAACGTCTACAGGTGGACTGACGGTTCCGTCGCGACGTACACACCCTGGAGGAAGGGGGAGCCGAGCTTTAAACAAAACCTCTTTCCCCCAGAGGACTGTGTACAAATGTACATAATGTACAATTATTCTGATTGGAACGACCTAGTCTGTTATAAACATAAAAGCTTTGTGTGTGAGATGTGATTTGAAATATTCACCAAATAATACGCCAACATGTTGCAGCACCTTAATAATCGATCATAAGCTTAGAACGCGAACAAAAACACTCGCAGTGAGACTTGGCTCCACATTGGTGTTAGTCTTCAATGAAGGTGAGTGAGTATGGTTTTACCCCGCTTTTAGCAATATTCCAGCCATATCACGGCGGGGGACACCCGAAATGAGCTTCACACATAGTACCAACGAGGGGAATCGAAACCGTGTCTTCGGCGTGAGTAGCGAATGCTTTAACCACTTAGCTACCCGACCGCCCCTTTCGATGAAGGTCCAAACGATCGTTTTCAGTTGTGACATTGAATTAAACACCAGGGCCAAACAAAGCATACACCCATGATTAATATCATTTGAACGTACTGCAGGAAAACGTTTGGCGAGTCTTACTTCAGTTTAGAACGTGTAACCAGTGATTGAGTGACGTTTTACGCCGCTTTTAGCAATACCAAGGCAGGGGACACCACCAATGGGCTTTACACATTGTACCCAATTCGAGAATCGAACCCGGGTCTTCGGCGTGACGAGCGAAGGCTTTAACCACTAAGCTCTCCTTGTAACCATAATCTTCCTCATGAAACTGCGAGAATAATACCTTTATCCAAAAGGAAATGCCCACTTTGTAAATTATCTGACAGAGGTAATGAATTCCATTATTTGTATATTTGTCCATCTTTAGAAAACGAAAGAAAACATTTTCTACACAGATTCAACTACTTCAAACCCAATATTCATTAAATGAATTTACTTTTCAATAATTAACGCTTAGAGACTTTGAGAAAATGTCCATATTCTGTTAAATCGCCATGTCATTGTTTAAACCTATCAAGTAACTCTCCCTCTGATTAAATTGAACATATATTGATACCCGAGTGAATCTGTATCAATATACATGCATCGTTGGCAAAGATGTTTTTTTTTAATCTATTCCATATGTTTATGTAAATGTGTTATGTTGTTGAAATAAGTTTGTACCTCTGATACCGCTGATAGCGGCCTGAGCGTAAATAAAGTTCAGTTCAGTTCACCCAGGAGTCTGTCTGTGTGTGTCTTCTTGTACTAGTCCGGACTGATGCCGATTTATTGAGCTAGAACACTGAGATACCATGCCGCAGTTTAACATGAATACCCCACTCAGACTCCGAGCCGACCAGGCCGACAACAAGTACCGTCTTCTAACATCTTTTGGTATGACGCTGTCGGGCATCGAACACCGGACCTTCTACTCTCCGGGCGGACGCTCTACCACTAGACCACGGAGGCTCTCTGTCAGTGAATGAAAATAGAACTATCAAAAAACAAAAAAGTTGTTTTAGTAAGTAATATGCAGTTTTTACTTATATTAAAGTTATATTAATAATACACGTGATGCCATTTTGCTTTATACAGAGTTGCTATATCAGATTACCAATGGGTTTGAGTTCATGGGAAAATGTTCGACTTTAAATATGTGTCCATCTATAATTAGTTCAAGGACTTGTTTAATCTACAGTAAACTACGTTTATGACGAACACGCTCATACCGAACTGACTGACGAACTATTTCTTGGTCGTGGTCATTTGCTGTATATATTCTGTATTCAGTAAACTGCGGTTATGACGAACTCAAAGGGGCCATTAATTTTAGTTCGTTATAACCGTAGTTCGTTATAAGCAACTGTTTTCGGGTCCCGTCGATTTGCTGTGTATAGGGTGTTTATGTGCCTATAACGAACTACGGTTATAACGAACTAAAATTAGTGGTCCTTTTTAGTTCGTTATAACCGTAGTTACTGTATAGAGTAATACTTTCGTACCCACCCTTTCAATGGAAAGGTGACCGTCGTTATCTGTTCCAAATGAAATGTCATCTAGTCTAACAAAACACAATGTTATATCCTTATGAAGGGATATGTAGGACACAGATTCCAACGCTAACACAAAGCAGGGCCAAAGTAATTGGTCATCGTATATGAAGTTAGTACCGAAAATAAAAATATTTTGTCCAAGACTTATATATTTGGAGTATATCTGATTTGGTTTTTGAAAGGATGCAACTAACTTTTCGATATGTTGTCTTGTGTAATGTTGTGTGAGTGAGTGAAAATTAAAAGTCACATCGGCAAAATTTCAGGCATATTGTTACTTTCAAAAGTTATGCATAATAAATACATATAGACTTTGAAACCTGCCAACAACGGACAGTAAAATAACTAGACTTATCACAGATCGATATTTAAAACTAGCTTCGAACCATAAAAATACGTCACTATACATAACAATACACTATGAAAACGGGCCATAAGTCGCCAGCAGCCAAAGATAGGCCACTATCCGAGGGACCGTTGGGATTTACGGTACACTATCCCTCAGCCGCTGACAATTGTGTTTAATTTAAGCCGAAAATAAAAATGACAAATATTTTACGTTTAAGACAATGGTAGATATAGATATGTTTTGAAATTACATGGACTTCTCTTTACCCTCTAAGGGGGACATTACTTTTACACTACTTCAACCCCATCGAGGACACTGCCACTACCAATCTCTGTCAATAATGGGCGATCCTTTTGTTCCAAAGGGCAATAACTCTCCTTTTGAAATGATATAAGCGACAGTCCAAACTGTCGCTTCCCGGATCAATGCGACAACTACTGACATGTAAAGACGGAGCCAAGCTAAAGAGTTATCCTGTTGCACCTTCGTTCAAAAACGGTCGTTTACAACTGAATATTTTTAACTAGCACATATTTTGTAGTGATTATTAGTTTATAATATCAACATTTGTTGAGTCTTCAACTACAAGACGAATTGTCACTTTGGAATATAGAAGGGAAAAAACGTCATGAAAAATGGTATATTGCCACGGTATTTTCTACGTCAGAAAACAGCGAGGAATTCTGTCAGTCTGGGCTAACAGATTGCATCGATGAAATAATGCTGACTCATTTTATCTATCAGCTTTTGTGTTATTTCCCACAATTCAAGCATTCAAATCTCAACAAATACTACCATGGACTTAAATGAAATAAAATTGAAGATACGCCTACATTTGCAGCACACAGACATCTTTGACAGGCCTTTACCACTGATCTATATAATAAGTATACATCCGTGCCTTACAAATAGTTTAAGAAGAAATAACGTTCAAAATAATACAACTGATTTTTAATGTTACTTTTTATATCAAAATTAAAGTTGCATCTGAATATTTAAATTTATATTATTTTTTTAGAAATAGGCCCAATGAACATCAACCATGCATCTATTAAGCACTCAGTTACTCAGTTGCAATATACATACTAGTCATCATACATTGAAATAAGAGATTTACCCATATTATTCTGCCCCTCATAACATGTGTCCCACCATTAAGTGCTCTAAGTCATCACAGGTGTTAATTCATTGATCCATCATTTCTTACAGAATTATGATACTCATACTCTTAAAATAGTAGTTAATTACAGAGATGTGTCCCAACAAACAACAAATCATACTGACTACCCCCCAAAAGGTGTATGATGCATAAATAGATCTTGTTTTAGTAACATAACATTTATTTTAATGTTGACAAATTATTTCCCATACAAACCCACACACTATCCTGCTGTATCTAAGTATCCTGATTTTCATTCAACAGTACTTCAAGACATCTGCAGTATAAAGTATATTTTGTAGATAGTATTATCATATAGCAAATATGAATTTTATATGAAAATATGAATATGAAAGTTTATCATCAAATCTTCTGATGGTTAAATAAATGCAAATTGAACCCCACAGTCAATTCATGTAGATAAATGGATATATTTATGTTATTTGTTTTTGCATATAACAGATTATACTTACATATGTTACAGTGTCCATAATAAGGCCCAATAGGTTTTTGACTGAAAATTTCAGTCAATATGCATATTGACTGATTCACTCAGGTAAGGTATATTTTTTCTTAAATTTTCATTCATTTATTATTGCCTGAAAAATGGGACCGGATTTTAGACAGACTGGCTGAAATGACTAACACTGCATAATTTAATCTCCTCAATTTAATTTGGATCTATTTTAATCTTATCAAGATCAAAGTAACTTATGTAAGAAATAAAAAAATGTTTTCACAATGAATTGATTGATTCTCCAAACCTGAAAGAATACCAGAGTCCTTTTTTATGTTACTTATTTTTATTTATTAGCATAACATTTAGTTCAGAAACAGATGACAGCTAAAAAGTCATGCATGTGTAATCAAATATAAGTACACATGCACAAGTGTGCCAAGATATTAGATAACCTAATAAGAGTCCTTGTGCAATGCAGATATCTTTTGGTGTCAATGCAAACTAGATGTAGACACTGTATTTTTAATACAATCAACATTATCAGTTAATTATAGAGATTGGCAATTAGTATGAATATATTGTTTTATTTTATAAAAATTGTAGTTGGTACAAATACTCTTGAATATGTATTTTAACTAATATATAGGGTCCTCTGTGTCTGAAATTATTTTTTTTACTTTGATAAATTAAAAAAAGTCCAAAATATTATATATATCTTTCATTGATCATATTGAAATATAATCATGGTAGTATTTGGCAACAAACAGCTATCATTCATATACATAAAATCCTTGTATACAACACGCACCAATTAACCCTTAAATATCAAAACAGATTTCAGTGATTTCCATTGAATCATGATATCTAGTTGATGACGTAATTTTACAGTGCCTGTTACTCTCACAGTTGACAAATACTTAGGCCTACATGTGTTGCTGTCAATATTCACAACATTGAGGCTACGGGCAACGTTGCATGCGAGCTTCACATTTCGCGTGCCGTATCACCTCACCGTTGTACATACGGAAATGCATGCATATGATGTAGCCTGCTCGGCGATGCTACAACATAGATATAGGAACGTATACAAAATCTACTTAATTTTCATATTCTTACATCAAGGGCAACACCTTCAGTACCGATTGCAAAACGTCAACAAAGCGACCTGGGATTGAACGATCAGCTGATCTCACCGAATCGCTTCAAACGCCTATCCAGTGGATATCTATACAATATAATCAGTCGAGGTCATCCCTGTTGTATCATTAATTCTAGAAACATTTTTTTCCGGACATGGCAATAGATAAATCATTGTTCCGCTGCATCAGATCCCAGATGTAATATCCAATCATGGGCTTATAATTAGTATTTGTTTGTTGTTTAACGCCGTACTCAGAAACATTCGAGCTGCATGACGGCGATCTGTAAATAGTCGTGTCTGGACTGGACAATCCAGTGATTGATATCATGAGCCTCGTACGACAAGCATTGTCACCTTTTACGGCAAGCATGGGTTGCTGAAGACTTATTCTACCCCGGAATCTTCACGGGTCGACAACACCTCGGTATAAATAATAAGAATAATCATATTGATAAACGTCTGTTTGAAGACACACACATGACACCACGATTTGCATGGGGAGACACAACGTACACCACGTAAGCATTCGCACATCACGTTCATGTCTGCCCATGAATTCAGACGACCGTCTACCTAAAAACATGACTACCCTAAAGAAAAGGATCGAAATCTGACCAATCAGAAGCCTAGGTTGTGGACCAATCAGAGGCCGCGCTCGGACCATGCTGGGCTTTGATTGGTCGAACTGGGGTAGTAGTTGGTAGCAGTACTCTGGTACCGCTCCTGGCTTCTTATTGGTCTAGAGGATCACGTGACCTCTGTGATGTCACTTTCGGTCATGTAACCTGCGCATGAGCACAGGGCATTGTGGGCCCTGCGTGCGCCTCAAAGATGGCGTCGCATCCGTTTCCGGTCGCATGCGCATCCAAGATGGAGTCGCATCCGTTTCCGGTGGCGTGTGCCTCCAAAAGCGCGTCGCATCCGTTTCCGGTGGCGTGTGCCTCCAAGATGGCGTCGCATCCGTTTCCGGTGCCGTGCGCACCTCCAAGAGGGCGTCGCATCCGTTTCCGGTGGCGCGCGAACCTCCAAGAGGACGTTGCATCCGTTTCCGGGGGAGGAGGAGGGAAGGGAAAAAACCCAGAGAAGCGGTCGTAAAAGCGGTCTTTTGTTGTTCTAAAAATAGACGTGGTGGTGGTTGGTGAGTGGGTGAGTAAGTGGGTGGTGGTGGTGGAGGGAGGAGGAGGCGGGTTCTTTGTTTGGGTTTGAGGGTCGACAAAGCAAAGTATGAAAGCGTTCTTTCGGTAGAGATGGGTAGCCCTGAAAAGGGCCGTTGGAAAACAAACTGGAAACTGGAAACGGCAGGAAACGATAGGAACAGTGGAACACTGGAAAAACTGGAAACGATGGGAAACTTTGTTCAGATGATCTATCTTCTTCATCCTCTACCTCCATCTCATCCTCGGACTGAAGGTGTCGTCGGCGCTTTGAAGAGTGTTTTCTTGAGAGGCTTCTGTCCTGTTATCTTTTCTCTAGACGAGGTGTGATGCCCACACGGAGTTGTGTGATGCATTCTTTTAGGTCGAGGACATCGACATGCATGGCTTCTATGAGATGAAGCACTGGTGTCACGGGTGTCACGGGTGTCGACGTGGACGGGACTGCTGATGTTTTCTTTCGATTGGGTTCTTGGCAATCTGCAGCGAAATGACCTATGACTTGACAGTTTTAACAGAAGTGCAGGTAAGACTTATCTTGATTGCCTATCTTCGGACAGACATAGTAAAAGTGACCTTGAGCGTGGCACTCGGTACATGTCACTTCAGGGCAGTACAGGTAACAGGTGTGACTGTCGGTCTGGCACTTCATACAACCGTATCGAGGTGGCATGGTTGGTTTCATAGAATGCAGTGTGTGAGTGGCTTCTTTTTTTGCTTTGTTTTTTATAGGAGAGCCACTGACACCCTGCTTCCTGATTGGTCCCCCAGGCAGCGCCCCCGATTGGTTCGTTCCGGTGCCTGGTCTGCACCTCGGTTTTTACCATGGGAGAGAAAGCACAACCCCCGGTTCTACCATTCAGAGTCCAGCATGACCCGAGCACGGCCTGTGATTGGCCGAAAACCCAAGCCTCTGATTGGTCAGATTTCGTTCTGGTTTTTATCAGGGTGTGCATTTCGATCCGGTTTGTTTTTTCTTCATCCTACAGACAACATAACACTACTATTGGTTCAACTCTTCTTCTTTTTTAATCCCCCGCTCACATGAACCAACACAACAAAACAAAAGTCACAGAAATAGGGGCGTCCCTGTGATTTTTTGTGAACACGAGGGGTGACCACGAGGGTGACCATGAGAGTATGAATGTCTGTACACTTTGAAAAAAGAAAAGAAACATTGCCACTTGGGGTGAACAAGACACTCGACTCTTCTCTTCAGTGCTTCTTGGGACACCAAACGTTTGTATTTTTCGTTCACTTCTTCATCAGGACAAAACACACACAAGTAGTTGCAGGGGACTTTGGCGTGCTTCAGATGTTCTTTCCAGGGTTTGTCTGTGGCTTCCCATTGGCAGAGTGTCACACCGCAGCAATAACAGATAACACGGTCACCTCGTCATGGATAGAAATAGCCAGCCATGGCCATGTCATAAGGGGTCTGGGTCATCTGTTGAGGCCACCTTTGAAAAGACCTCAGACGTTCTTGAAATGAATCATAGTTAGGATGAGAAGGATGACACAAGGTGTAAGAAGGAAAAAGTCCCTCCAGAATGTCACTGAGTCGCCATGTGTCGTCAATAAAGAGTATGCGTTTTCTCTCTTCTTCTCCCGCCTTTTTTCAGACACCCACTCGGTATCCCAACCGCACCTTCCCGAGCGCGTTTAAAGATGACGTATAGCGCGTGCTATGACGTAACATGGACCATAAAAGGAGGTTAAAGTTAGCAGCAACCGTCATCCTCCTCACTTCCACAATTACGTTGCTTGCAATTGGATCAGGATACTCAATCCAGGACTACACAATCTTGAATCAACTATGTCGGACTTTAAAGATATGGGCTTCGGGCAACCAGCAAGAAAAAAACTCAAACCAAACGTCGACGTGGGAATGGACAAAGACATCAAAGGACATCTGACAGGTAAGGAGTCAATTCAATATCTTTATTGGGCTATTGTTATCCAGACCTTACAACCTTTCGAGAAATTTAAAATGACAGAATACTACAAGAAATAGTAGACCATCCAAAGGAGGCAAGGGAAAAAGACAACACAGAGATAAACAAACCATGGAACGGGGTAGACCATATACATGTAGGAATAGCAACCAAATCACAATACCACCTGAGTAAAAACTACCAATGGATAAAAATTCTGAAACATGTGAAACCAAATTATCCAGAACAAATGCAGCCTAATGTAGAAAAAATGAGAGTCCCAAAAGGCTGGGCAAAATACGTACAAAAAGCACCACGAAAAATCACAACAGATACTACACAATTCTGGGAAAAATTCCTCAAAGAGAACCCACGAAACAAACTAGACGAAACCGCACCGGTTGAGGAAGATTTTGATCTCTCACATACTAGTAACAGACAAACAAACAAAAACGCAAACAATCTCAAATTCCTCATAGACCTGATCAAAGCACACAACGTAAAACAACCAGGCGAAATACTAACACTGTACAAAGAAAAAAATATTCACGACAAAAGCGGACATATTAATTCAGATAATTGCAAATAGCGCTCGCTTTGGAGTGCCAAAGAACACAAACACTGAATTTTGATCAATTACTTGAAGAGTACATAAAATACAACTCTGTACGAAACAACAGAAACGTTGATAAAAATCTTCGACAAGATGGTAGACCATAACGGGTGGGACAAAGAAGAATTCCTAGGACACTTACAAAAAGTACTAAACAAAACAGAAAACAAATTGAACACCTTTATGCTATTAGGGAACCCAAACAGTGGGAAATCCCTAATAGCAAGGTCCATCATACCAATAGTCCGTTTTTACGGTGAGGTAAAGATGCAAGGGTCCAGCAACTTGGTCTGGCAAGACACCATAGATAGAAAGGTCATACTCATAGAGGAACCATGTTTAGCAGATGAAAGCCTATTAGAAGAAGCAAAACTAATTCTAGAAGGGGCGAACACCATGGTTAGGCAGAAATGTCGGCCTGATATACTGCTAAAAAGAACACCAGTGCTTATCACGTCAAATACTTCACTCACCAAATACTTCCCTGCTCATAGAAAAGCATTCGAAGTAAGGATGCGAACACATAAGACAAAAACTGCACCATTTCTCAAAAATGTTTCAAAAGGACTGAACCCACACTTGTGGCACTACTTATTCAAAGCACATACCGAACACATGAATGAAAAACTAGAAAAAAGCATGCAAGATGAATACAATCGTTGGTCAAGCGACGATGATTTAGGATGGTTAGAAATGCCAACACCACTAACACTAAAAGCAGAAAACGTACCAACCAAACATGAACCCCCTGTTGTGTCCGGGGAGCTCAAAAAGTCCAAAACAATGATATGAATCTGACTCCTTACTTAGACGATTTATCGTCTAATGTGTCATTTGTTTCCGCCCACAGTGCTGACCCAAGCCATGAAAAGAAAAGAGAGGGAAGAAGAGATAAATTCACCAGACAACTTCCCCAAACAACTCCTCACAGGCTACTGGAGGAATACAAACACTTACCTAAGACAAATGCTGATGCAGACTCAACTAGACAACACAACAAAGATAGCATGGACATCGTGGATGATACAAAAGAAACCAGAACTAACGGCGAGAGTATACCACGAACACAAGTTGTATGCAAGACCTGACCCTGCTGAGACCCTACGAAAGTCTGTCATCATATGGGCTCCCAGTAGTTGTCTACAGCGATGCAGTAACCGCTCAGATTTCTGGTACCAAGATGGCGGCAAATCCGTTTCCGGTCACGTGACCTGCGCATGCGCGCAGTGCAGGATGGGTACCTGCGCGCGCCTCCAAGATGGCGTCACTTCCGTTTCCGGTGGCGCGCGCATGCAAGATGGCGTCGCATCCGTTTCCGGTGGCGTGCGCATGCAAGATGTCGTCGCTTCCGTGTCCGGGGAGGAGGGGGAAAACCCCGAGAAGCGCACGTACAAGGTGAACAAGATCGACAGTGTTGTTCTAAAAATAGACGTGGTGCAGGTGGTGGTGAAGGGAGGGAGGGAAGGAGGAGGCGTGGGGGTTAGAGGGTCGTCAAAGCAAAGGAGGAAAAGCTGTCTTTCGGGAGAGATGGGTGGCCCTGAAAAGGGCCGTTGGATAACAAACTGGAAACTGGAAACTGGAAACGACAGGAAACGACAGGAACACTGGAACACTGGAACACTGGAAAAACTGCAAACGATGGGAAACTGGTAAAAACAGTGGGGGCAGCATGACCCATGCGTTAGTCACTTTGTTAAGATGATCTCTCTTCTTCATCCTCTACTTCCATCTCATCCTCGGACGGAAGGTGTCGTCGGCGCTTTGAAGCGTGTTTTCGTGAGGGGCTCCTGTTCCGTTTTCTTTTCTCTAGACGAGGTGTGATGCCTACACGGAGTTGTGTGAGGCATTCTTTTAGGTCGAGGACATCGGCATGCATGTCCTCGATGAGATGAAGCACTTGTGTCACGGGTGTCACGGGTGCCACGGATGCCACGGGTGTCGACGTGGACGGTGTTGCTAACGTTTTCTTTCGACTAGGTTCTGGGCAATCTGCAGCGAAATGACCCACGACTTGACAGTTGTAACAGGGGCGTTGGGGTGTCTTCTTTCGACTGGGTTCTGGGCAATCTGCAGCGAAATGACCCATGACTTGACAGTTGTAACAGGGGCCCAGGTTCTGCTTCTCTTGACTGTTCATCTTCGGACAGACATAGTGACGGTGACCTTGATCGTGACACTCGAGGCATGTCACTTCAGGCAGTACAGGTAACTGTGATTGTCGGTCTGGCACTTCATACAACTGTATCGAGCTGGCATGATGGGTTTCATAGAATGCAGTGTGTGTGTGAGTGGCTTCGCTCTTGTTTTGTTTTTATAGGAGAGCCACTGACACCCTGCTTCCTGATTGGTTCCCCAGGCAGCACCCCCGATTGGTTCGTTCCGGGGCCCGGCCTGCACCTCGGTTTTCCAAAACGGACCGACCCCTGTGTTTCTTTTCCATAGGAAATGGATTTTACCATGGGAGAGAAAGCACAACCCCGGTTCAGCCAATCAGAGCCCCGCTTGGTCCGAGCGCGGTCTCTGATTGGTCGACAACCCAGGCTTCGGATTGGTCCGATTTCGATCCGTTTTTTTTTATCGGGGTGTGCATTTTGATCCTGTTTTGTTTTTTCTTCATCCTACAGACAACATAACACGACTATGAGTTTTTAAAACAATTTTAATCCCCCTGATCACATGAACCAACACCACAAAACAAAAGTCACAGGATGAGGGGGGACATCCCTGTGATTTTGTGAACACGAGGGGTGACCACGAGGGTAGGAACGTCTGACCACTTTGAAAAAAAAACAAACTTTGTCACTTGGGGTGAACAAGACACTCAACTTTTCGTTTCCGTGCTTCTTGGGACACCAAACGTCTGTATATTTCGTTCACTTCTCCATCAGGACAAAACACGCACAAGTATTCGCAGGGGACTTTGGCGTGCTTCAGATGTTCTTTCCAGGGTGGGCTGTGGCTTCCCATTGGCGGAGTGTCACACCGCAGCAATAACAGGTCACACGGTCACCTCGTCCTGGATAGAAATAGCCAGCCATGGCCATGTCATAAGGGGTCTGGGTCATCTGTTGAGGCCACGTTTGAAAAGACCTCAGACGTTCTTGAAATGAATCATAGTGGGGATGAGAAGGATGACACAAGGTGTAAGAAGGAAAAGGTCTCTCCAGAATGTCACCGAGTCGCCACGTGTCGTCCATCAAGAGTGTGTCGTCCATCAAGAGTGGACGTTTTCTCGCTTCTTGTTCTCTCGCCTTTTCAGACACCCACTCGGAATCGGTGACGACATCTCGGGAGGATGACATGGTATTCATAGAACGTCTTTGCTCCATGATGACGGTGACTTCACTGAAAGAAGGTCTGAGGGTTCGCCTGCTTTTAAGAAACTCTCCACCCTACTCCCTTCAACGGAAGGTCATGACCTTAGCTTCCACCTCCTCCACCTCCTCCACCTCATCACGTGACGTCATCCTGTTTTGGGGTTGACGGACACACGGCATGATCCATGACATGATCCATGACATGACATGGCACACGGGGAGGGGTGTGGGGATGGATGCGTCCTGGAATGACTGGCACCAGGCAGCTGATCTTTCAAGCATGGCCTTTCTCTTTTATCTTTCTCTTCTTCACTTTGGTGTGCACTGACATGACAGAGGCACAGACAGACAGACAGACAGACAGACAGACGGACAGACGACGTCAACGACATCTCAACTCAACCTCTACCCTCGGTTCGGTACTCTATCGGAGTTGAGATCAATCAAGACACAAAGAGTCAGTTCAATCAATCGCTGTTTAATCATGAAAAACCAATCACAACCCGATACAATGGAAATACGAAAAGTCAATGGAGGAGGGAGTGCTTTGCATGTCCCTACAACAACCACAACAACAACAACAATAACGCGACAACGTTTTCCTCTTCCATCTTCAAGCTCTTCCATCTTCAAGCCCATAAGAGGTGGTCCTCCCTCAAACCTGTGAGAGGTCCATCCGTTCAACACGTACAGTCTATGGCCTCCCTGAAACAGACATGACACATCACTTGATCACGGTTGCAGCTGACGTGTTGACAAAGTTCTTCGAGTGAAGAGGAGGATCACCATAAGATGTGATCCTCAGATGCGATAGGCATGTCATCATACTTGTCATAGGTCAACATACAAGTACAGTCTATGAGCTCCAGACCACAGACATGACACATCACTTACCCGCTGTTGCAACTGATGTATCTTAACATGTTGTTGTGTCGGCAAACACGACATTCCCGTTGTAGGGGAGTGAGTTGAGCTTCTCCATAAGGATCCAGGTCAACGTTGTCATCATCATCATCGTCCCAAACCATGGGCGTACCTGAGGAGTAGACATGAACCTCTTCCGGGGATGCTGGTGACCAAGAAGCCTCAAGCAGGGGGAGCGTGTCCAGATCAATGGAAGGGATAGTGCCCAGCTTGAGCGCTTCATGATCATCGAGGTCACCCGTCGCCATCGTCACAGGGGCATTCGGTGAATAGGTGGGCTCCCGAGGGGTTTGTTCCCACCACTGTTCTAGCACGGACTGGGCTGAACTGACATCAGGGGTCCTGTCAATCATAGGACAGAGTCCATTTATGATAGGAATAGGTCATGAATATGAATCACATCAAGAATGACTGAGACAAAGAAGAGCAGGGTACTTACAGTTGTTCTTGAGGAGAGATCTTCAGAGATAATTTCTTCCATGATCGTCTTTTTGCAGGCGTTGCAGGTGTGACAGGTTTCAAAAAGGATGTCCCCATCGTTTCGATGTCTGTTGTCGCTGCAGCAATGGTTGCTGTGGCTGCTGTGGTGGTGGTGGTGGTGGTGGTGGGTGTTGCAGCTGCTGTGGGGGTCACCACGGCTGTGGGTTTGCTCGTCTTTTTCTTCTGGATCTTCTTTATCGTCTTCTTCGATGTGCCTTTCTCTGGTTCAGTCAGCTTCCTCATCTTTGAACGTATCTGTTCGCACATCAGGTTGTCACCCTTCGCACGTAACTTGGCGTACGCGTCGTCGGTCTTCATCTTTAAACACAGCAAGTCGTACACTTCACCCCACAGTTCAGCAGTCATGTCCCCGTTCCCATCTCCACTGCTTCCTTGGCCACTCATGTCGCTTCGTGTCTTGTCATTCAACCGTTTTGACATGATGTTGTCCGGATGTTCTGTTCGTTGTTGTTGTTGTTGTTTCTTTCCAAGTCTTCACGGAGGTGTGTCAACACTTGATGGTACTCTCTCCAAACACGTGTTTCTTCCAGATAAAACGCCAACAACCAACACAACGTGAGGAACATCAATCAGAGGGACAATGTTGTTGTTTGGTCCGTTCAGTGAAAAGTGATGATCGGAGAGCATCGGTCGTATTAAAAGCCACGGAGGTCCTGCTTTCTGATTGGCCCGTTCCGGTGTCTGACTTTCACCTTGGTTTTCCAAACTGGACCGACCCTTGTGTTTCTTTTCCATAGGGTTAGGCTTGTAGCGTGAGAGAGAAAGCACAACCTCAGGTTCGACCAATCAGAGGCCACCCTGGCTCGAACACGGCCTCTGATTGGTCGACAACCCAGGCTTCGGATTGGTCAGATTTCGATCCGTTTTTTTCTGTAAGGGGTCCATGTCGATTCAGTTTCGATCCGCTGTCATGAAAAAATTTGTAGAAAGTCGTCTCTGTACCCAAAGGGGAGCGTGTCTACAGGTAGCCCTGTGGTTTCGTCGTAGACGAGACGTCGCTTGTCGTACACGGTACGATAGTCTTTTCGGGTGGGTTGGGTCACGAGTGCGTTTTCGTGCCGAGGTCCTTTTCGAATGATCTGATGAGGGTAATCCAAACTGATTTTCTCCTCCTCTTTCCCAGGCCGTTGTCCCAGTATCAGTCCTTTCATGGTGTCAAAGTTGAGATGACGTTGGTTTCGTAAGCGTCGTGATCCGTACATCCTTCGGGGTATCCGCTGGCTTCGAGCTTCTCCTTGAAATGTCGATCGATGTAAGTGTCAAAGAGTCCCACTTGCTGGGTGTCGGGGTCATGCTGTGCAAAGGTGTCAAAATGCCAAACGTCGTAGATCTGAAGCACTTCAGTCATACTTCTTCACGGCTTCCTGGAGTTCTACGGTGGCGTACGTCCCCAACCCATGACCTCTCCGTGTGCTGGCAGGGGGAGTCTGACCGGGTATCGGCACACGTGCGGCACAAAGGACAGAGCAGTTTGCCACCCGATCTGTAAGGCAGTAGCGGATGGTAGAGTCGTTTCGGGGGTAGGACACGGCATTGGATCAGGCCTTTCAGTTCAAACAACGTGTCCACAGGGGGTTGATGGAGAAGGGTCGGGTGTCCCGTGGGAAACGCTCCGGTCTTACAAATGTAGGGATAAAGGGAACAAATATCGATGTACTTGATGGTTTCACCTTCTTGGGCTTCGTAGCATAATAACGTGGCATTGGTGCGTCCTCCATAGAAGGCGTCGCAAGGGTTGAGCAGCCCAGGGACGTGACTACAGTGGGGTCCCTGCAAGAAAGCACGCAGAGCGGAGTCCTCCCGTTGCATTTTCGTAAACTCGTCCTCCCACAGGGTGACGATTCGTTTCACCTCAGGGTGTTGACTCAAGAGACTCAAGCGGTAGTGGGTGTCGGTGTAACGGGCTCCCAACGACGAGCCCAGGACGGGATGCGCTTCTCCACGTTGGGTCTTGTGACAGACCTGGCACCCATGCCAGAAACAGCCCAGGAATTTGTAGAGGGTGCCTGTCGCTGGATCGTAGCCATCCACGGTGTACCGTTGTTGACCCCCTCCACACGTGAACTCTTTTTCACCGCCATTCCTGGCGTGCTGGAGGTGCAGATGGGGATCCGTTTCCATCAGATAGTGGAGCCAGTACATACAGGCCTGGGAATAGTTTCTCTTGGGTTGGTAGCCTTGAGGTGGAAGAATGGCGATGGTATTGGGTTTCAGGTCGTGTTTTCGGAAGGATTTTATGGTGAACGCTGCAGCTGTCATCACTTCCACAAAGGGATCCATGCCCACCGAGTGGATGGCGTTCTGTCGGAAGTCGGCGCATCCCCGTCTCAAAATGTCCACATCGCTCTGGCAGTAGGCTAAAAGTTCTCCTTGTAAGTCAACAAGGCTCCTTCTTGCACTTTTTGGGTATGCCACTGGAGGAAGGCTGTGCGTTCCGCGGGAGACATGCCATCTGGATCGTACGTGACGGCTGGTGGATAGGGACCTCTGTAGGTCTGGTTGACTCTCGTATTGAAAAAGTGTGGAAAGTACCCTTTCTTCATTTCTTTCAGCCCAAAGCTCTTGGGAAAGGCTTTCAGGGGGTAAGGGATGAAATTTAAGCTGTCTTCGAAACACAACCGTCCAAGGGTCATCTGCAAAATTTGTTGGCCATGTCGAATCTTGGTGGGGAGTGTCACCAGGAGGGGGGACAGACCCTTCAGGACTAAGTGTAAATCATAGGATCGTGCATTATGGGCCATCACATAAATGCGATCCTCCTTCGGGACTGTATGGCAGGGGGTGTTCTTGTTCTTTGCTTTCTCCACTTCCATGGCCTCTTCCACCTCCTCCGCCTCCTGCTGGGGTGATGCATGTCGTTTGGAAGCGTACTTTCTTGAGGGGGCGCCATCCCGTTTTCTTTTTTTCCCCAGGTGGGGTGTTGTCCCCTTGCATGTGCTGCCCTCCTCTTCCTCTGGGTTGGGCTTCTTCTTGGGTATTTCAGACAACGTGGTCAACCACACACACACATCATGTCGCGTGGTGGGGCCTCGAAACACGATCTCACGGGTGGGACCCTTCTTCTCTCCATGGACAGTGTTCGCACAAGTTCTTGCTCACTTCACTGATGCATCGTCCACATCCTAGTTGCACCACACACAAATTTGGAATGTGTTCCCCCGTATTGGACATTGTCTCGTAGGGGATGTTGTTCCTCTTCTCCCTCCTCCTTCTCCGCTTCCTCTCCCTCCCCCTCCTCCCCCTCGTTTTCTTCACGGAGAGGCGTCATGTAACAGCGATGATCTGGGGTCATGGGTTCTCGGCACACCAAGCAGGGATGTTCTTCATCGAAGCACTCATAGTGAACCATGGGGTTCTCCAAGACGCGGACCAGCTGAAAACAGTTCGGGCACCTGTGAATCGATTGACAGGCGCTGGGTTTTCCCTCTGACGGTGACTGGAGATGCCGGGTGTAACACGGTGAATTGGGGAACCAACCTTGACATGTCAAGCAAGGGATCCCGTGCTCTTCCTGGGGTCCGCAATAGCTAGAGTGGAAGCAGCGGTGACAGCTGTATTCCTTGGTGCAGGGATGTTTTTCGGGATGGTCGTAACGTTTGTCGCAGCGTTCGCAGTAATGGTTAGAGCCATAAAAAGCGGACATGGAAGTGATGACATTGTAGTGCTGATCATGATGGTATACATGCAGCACCGTGGCGTGGGGTGGAGCCTCATCACACTTGTACAACAGTCTCTGGTCCACCTCTTGACTGAAGACTTTCAGTTGATAATTCAGACGTGTCAAGGCCCGTCCCACGAGTGCGAGGTCGTCCAGCTTCCGACAGGGACCTTCAGGCAGGCCAAGGCGTCGAAACAAGGCCCGTGCCCGTATGCCTTGAACGTCGACGCGATCCGTTCTCATCAGTCTCACTCGCTGGACTTTCCATGCTGGGGTCAGAGGGTGAGGCTTGTGGGCATAATGCTGTGCCACCACCAGGGCCCGTGCCAAACAGGATTGATCTTCGTTCTTGATCTGTACGATGCACTTTTTGCGTGTTAAAAAAGCTTCGAGTCCAATCACGTTTTTCAGTCGGAGATGGCCACTGCCCGATCCTAGCCTGTCGGGATCTGCGACGTGTACTAAGGTCACATCCATGGTGGCATCGATGTTCATGTCTTTGTTGGACTGTTGGACTTTTTCCACGGCTTGCAAAATATTTAGCCCATGGAGATCTTCAAAACGTCGAAAGGGAATCCGTATGGGGGTGTTCAAAGCGGGATGATTGATACCTAGACCAATACGATCTCCCTTCTGACCTGACATCTGTTCATAAAAGTCATCGATCACCCTGTCAAATAAAGCTGGCAGTTCCATGGGGACGCGTTCCGGTGGTATGGTGTCCGAGTAGTCTGGGTTGAAAGTCAAACGATAGGTATGATTAGTAGTTCTTAACCGTCTGGAGCGGGTGGTATCTTTCCTCTCCAAACGATAGGGCGTACTTTGGTTGCTCGTCATGATAGCGATGTTTGTCTGATGAACGTCTGTACTCTAAGAGGTGCTGAACATCTGATGGATGGACAACCCTTCCCCAAAAACAGGATCGAAATCGGACCAATCCGAAGCCTGGATTGTCGACCAATCAGAAGACAGCAATGACCAATCAGAAGACAGCACCCAAACCGAGTTGTGCTTTCTCTCCCATGGTAAAATCTATTTCCTATGGAAAAGAAACACAAGGGTCGGGTCGTTTTAGAAAACCGAGGTGCAGACCAGGCCCTGGAACGAACCAATCGGTGCGCTGCGTTTTGGACCAACCAGGAAGCAGTGAGTTTCGATCCGGTTCTTCTCCTATAAAACAAGCGTGGATTCGAGTGGGTCAGTGTATTTTACATAAAATTATCAAGAATGGCTGAAACAAAGAAGAGTGGTATGACGACGCGTGGCGAAGATGTGGTGATGGATAGTGCAGAACCTCGTGGATGTTGGAGTAAGAGTCATGCCGAGGAGGCGGTGTCACTGCTCAGTCAAACGCCATCGCACTATTATCTACGCTTTGAAAGAAGGCTCGCTTCATATGAGGCGTGGCCCATGCAAATGTATCAGACTGCTGAAGAGATGGCCCATGCGGGCTTTGCCTAGACTCAGGGTGCCGATGGTGTGTGCTGTTTCCAATGTGGGGTGCGTCTGAGACAATGGGCACCCCACGACAATCCTTGGGTGGCACATCACAAGTGGTCCCCAGACTGCGATTACCTCAAGCTAACCGGGCTGGTGAAACACCAGAAGCAGCTACAACTACACTATCTCTGCGAAGAGAAACAGAGGTACACGAATGACGTAGCACGGCCAGCTGCCTAGGAGGACGTTTCCCGTGTCCTGCGTTCCCGTTCAAATGTTTTTTTTCTTTTCTTGGTTGGACCCACAAGAGGACAGCAGCAGAAAGGTTTTTCTTCCCCAAAACGGCCCTTTTCAGGGCCACCCATCTCACCCAAAAGACAACTTTCCTCCTTTGCTTTGCCAACCCCCACCCCTCCAAAACAAAGAACCCACATCCTCCCTAGACCTCTTGGGGGTACACGTCTAGGTCTAGGAGGTATACATAGATATAAATAGATATAAATAGAGTTAGATCAATAGATCAATAGAGACACGTAGTACACCACGTCAAACATCACGTGTGCATGAAAACACCTGTCACAGTACGCCTGTCGACCTACACGAGTGTCAACACCTCGGTATCCTTAAAAAATAATAATAATAATAATAATAATAATTTGAAAACACATACACGCACGGGGCACGACGTTTGCATGACAACACACAAAGTACATACATGACGTTCACATCACAAGACATACACACACACACACACACACACACACACACACACATGACATTCCGATTGGCATGGGAGTGACAACGTACATCACGTAGGCATTCCCACGTTCATGTCTACCTATGAAGGTCCACCTTCCTTTAGCATTCAGACGACCGTCTACCTCAAAAAATACCAAGGCTACCCAAGAAGAAAAAAAACGGATCGAAATCGGACCAATCCGAAGCCTGTGGAAAAGAAACACAGGGGTCGGTCCGTTTTGGAAAACCGAGGTGCTGACCGGGCCCCGGAACGAACCAATCGGAGCTGCTGCCTGGCGAACCAACCAGGAGGTAGGGTGTCAGTGCCTCTCCTATGAAACAAGCGTGGATTCGAGTGGGTCAGTGTCACTTGTAAAAATTGATTCATCATGATGAGCAGCAGCAACAGCAACAACATCAGCAACAACTACCACCTGAAAGAAAACTGGGATCTAGAGATCGCCAGAGTAACACAACCTTTACCCGGGTGGAAAGAAGCATCACCACCCCCACCACCACCACCATGGTCTCCAGCGTGGCAATGTGCCAGATGTCAAGGGGGCCTGCCCGTCTATGCCCTTGGTACAAGGGTACGGGATGGAACTTTTGAGTGCGTGTACTGCGGCACTGTGCTGAAGGACACCTACGTGCGTCGGTTAACGCACACCAGTAGGTGTCCTGTCAGACGCGAAATGAAAGTCCACCCGTGCCTTTGCACCATGGCGTGTACATGCATGTAAGCATCAAAACGGCCCTTTTCAGGGCCACCCATCTCTCCCGAAAGACAGCTTTTCCTCCTTTGCTTTGACGACCCTCAAACCCCCACGCCTCCTCCTTCCCTCCCTCCCTCCCTTCACCACCACCACCACCACCACCACCACCACCACGTCTATTTTTAGAACAACAACCCTGTCGATCTTGTTCACCTTGTACGTGCGCTTCTCCGGGTTTTCCCCCTCCTCCCCGGACACGGAAGCGACGCCATCTTGCATGCCATCTTGGAGGCGCGTGCAGGTACCCATCATGCACTGCGCACATGCGCAGGTCACTTGACCGGAAACGGATGTGCCGCCATCTTGGTACCAGAAATCTGAGCGGTTACTGCACCGCTGTAGACAACTACTGCTCCTGACCTTCATCAAGTTCCGCAGCGGCAAAGTCCAGAGCTTGCAGAGACACCTATAATGGAAGAAGGAACAGAACCTGAAGGAAATACATGATGGACTTCACAGAATAAAAGAAGCACTGGAAGAAACGGACAACGACCCGACACAAGACAACATAACAACAACAAAAGAATTACTTATAAACTATCTGAATTTGATGAAGATTGGACTACACTGGACCAGCTGTACAAAATGCGGTGCTACTATTGCTTGCTAAACCGAAAACTTATGGACCGGGGATGTAATTCCGGAGAAGTGTACTGCTGCGTGTGCGGCAG